TATTAATTTATTAATTGATTGATTGATTGATTGTGAGGAAAATTTATTTCAAGATTTTCAAAGGATCGTACTGTATGTATGGTACTGGGTTGTACGATGGATGGACTATGTAGATCATAACTAATTAACAACTATAAAATTAAGATATTATAACAAATGTAATGGTCCACATGGTGACAGAGTTTTTTTTAATTTTATTAGTAAAATCATCCAAAATGTTAAACTTTGATACATATAGGCTCGATAACCAACAAGTTAGATTAAAAAATTTTCCGCGGTTTTTTTCTCTGTGATTTAAAGAATAGCCTGACAGAGAGTTTTTTTAAAAATTATAGTCTTTTTTTCCTTCGAAAAATTATTCCTTTTGAAGAAAATGCTTAATAAAATAAATAACATTATTTTCTCATTCAATTAATCTTACGGGAGATTCTACAAGGAGTAAAGGTTCTGAGGAATTAGTTTTCATTTTTTTGACTGCACGTGTATTATGAATTAGTCTTTTTCTTTTATTGGTCCGGCATTTTATTAAACACGAAAACTTTTATAAAATATAATTTATTCAAAAGTTGATTAATTCTAAATATTTCTTTATTTAAACTTGATTATTTTATTTTTTACGATTCTTACGAAAGATACTTTATATTTTCTTTAAAAGGAAATGATTATTGAATTTGCGGTCCGCCGATCAACGATAGAAACTCACTAATAAAAACGTATTAGTATATGAATTTTATAAATAATTGGCATGGAGACAAGTGGTGATAACTATACATGAAGTTGAAATTAAAACCCCAAAGTCGAAATGTTTCGACTTGAGGCAACTACATAGTAAAAATCAGTTTCGACTTCATGTATAGTGATAACTACCACTCTTTTTAATAAATAACACTTACTCGTTGCTATCAGCTATTTCATTTTTTTTTTTGCATTTTTCTTCAAATGTCTTTTTTTTTTATAAAAATAAAAAAAAAAATTATATGGTGCAGACTAAGGGTGCAAACATACAGTGTGTCAAGAAAAAAACGCCGGTGACA